AAAAAATGTAAGAGAACATGACTAAGTAAAAGCTCAAAACACCAACAGAAATGTAAATTAATGCTTCTTAGCCATGTTCAAAAGAGAGGACATTGAAGAAGAATGCAGTAGACCATGACCAAATAAAAGCTCAAAACACTCATATAAATAAAAATTCATGCTTCTTAGTCACACTCAAAATGGAGGACATTTTAGAATTCCTCCTGAACAGAAGGGTGAAATGTAGGACATGTCCTGGAAAAGGAGGGTGTCTGGTCACCCTGCCACCAAACTGCAGTCCATCAGCAGTGGGCTGAACAGAGACAATAGTTTCCTGGCACACTATATGCATTATAACGCTAGCTAACCCAGCTTCATGGGGTTCCACTTGGCCAGTTCATGACAACTTCTTTTTGGCTCCCACACTACATCCAGGGTGAAAGACATCCTTGTTTTCAAGGAAATGTCCATTTCATCCTTCTGAACAGGAGGAATTTCAAAATATCTTCCTTTTGAACATGACTAAGAAGCTTGAATTTATATTTATATGAGTGTTTTTAGCTTTTATTTTGTCATGCCCTACATATTTTTCTTCAGTGTCCAACATTTTGTAGTGTCTTATCCTCCTTTGGGGTTAAGATATCTGGTCGCCCGAACTACATCCCAATATGCATTCGTAAGGTCATCTACTAACCTTGGCTTTAGGCGACATCTTTGCCTTGTCTTGCATGGATCATATTAAAACTAAACTTGTCACCTCACAATGTTTTCCATTTCTATGACATTCTCACACATAGACTGCCATATAGGTCTGTCCCTTGGCTTTTCGCTCCACCACACACATCTGAGGAAGTAGGCTCAAGTCTACAAAAACCCATACATTTACAAAAACCCATCAGACTGCCAGAAATAGTGCAAATTGAGTCCACTTTAAGGGTTAGGGTTAGGGAATCATGGGAACTGTATTTTATTGTGGCACCAGAACTCTCTGACAGAGAAGGCTCAATGTCTCAGGGGAAAAAAACAATTCCCATGATTCCCTAGCATTAACCCTAACCCTTAAAGTGGACTCAATTTGCACTATTTCTGGCAGTCTGCAGAGGCCCTTAGTCTCCAAGGTGCTGTAAGATCTCTTTCCATATCCTGAGGTGATTCAAAACAAGCAGAACATTGAATTGCCTTGTTTCCTAATTTCACTTTGAAACTGGGCAATTAAAGTCCCCATTGCTTTCCTCTAGGATCTATCTCCTGAGCCTGTTAAGTGTTTATTGAGAGGTATGCCTCACAGAGTCCAATGGGAGTAACTCCCTCAGAAATATGTAATACAATTTTGCATCATTCCTCTCACAATTCACCCTTCCTGGACTGTGGCCATCAAGTGTGAAGTCATTTTAAGTGTCCATTCACAAGGGCAGAACTTTTGTTGTTGATGGCAAGCTGCTGGCACAATGAAGCAGACACTTCAGGCAGATCTTGAGATTTATTATGACTGTATTTTTCCCTGCCAGGGAAGGGCTGATTTATGCCTCTCAGCCAATAAATAGGAACAGAGAATCATTAACACAGAAGAATTAGGTTTCAGTATTTGGGCTGCTGACTGCCTGACTCCATATTCACTTGACTCTAGTAAAGTAAGGAGGCATTTGTGACCTTTCAGACGTTATACTACGCTCCTTGCCATCTTTTGACCAGGGGCATGCTGGCTGGGGATGATGGGAAAAACTAGACTGCCACAGATTCCTCCATTCCAAGTGTAGAATTGTTTCAACACAGTTCTTGTTTATTACATATCTTTCTACTCAGTAGTAGCGTGTGCCAACCTGTTATGACCACCCCATAAACATCATAGGTTTTTCTTAGGTAAGGAATACTCGGAGTTGGTTGGCTCTTGCCTTCCTCTGAAATGTAGCCTACAATACCTAGTATTTCCTGGTGTACTCCTTTCCAAGTACTAACCAGGCCTCACTTGATAAGCTTCCAAGACCAGACAGGATCTGGTGCCTTTAGGGTATTCAGGCTGTATTATACAACTGAGCACTAAAGTTAGAATCTCTAAGCCATTGTATTCCCCATTACTATGTACAGATGTGAGAGATGGATAGTGAAGAAAGCTGTCAGAAAGAAAGTTAACTCATTTGAGATGTGGTGCTGAAGAAAAGTGCTGAGGATACTGTGGACAGACAAAAAACAAACAAACGGTTCCTAGAACAGTGCAAACCTGAACTCTCCCTGGAAGCCAAGATGTCTATGAGGCTGTCATACTTTGGCCATATTGTGAGAAAGTATGACTCCCTGGAAAATACAAGAATGCTAGGAAAGGTAGAGGGAAGTAGAAAGAGAGAAAGACTGTGTGCCACATGGTTAGATTAAATCAGAGAGGCCATGGGCCTCAGCCTACAGGATTTGATCAGAACAGATGAGGACAGGGAGTCTTGGAGATGCCTCATCCACAGGGTGGCTATGAGTTGGGGCTGACTTGAGGGCAGTTAACAACAAAAACTATTTATTTTTATACACACCTTTATCATAGACATTGAATTTCTTTTGTGTTTAGAGGAAATATGAACAAAATCAAGTTAAATCTAACTGGAATAGACATTATGAATTTGGAAATATAGTAACACAGCAAATGTAGGAGATGATAATGAAAGTCAAATATGTAAAGAAAGGATATTCATGATAAAGGAAGGGAAGAGTTTTTAATGTTAGTTTGTTTAAATGTAATGTCTTGTCTGTTTTTTTGTTTGTCTTTGGGGACTTATGTTGGTGATATATTTGTGTTTTTAATAATAATAATTAAATTTAAAAAACTATTTATTTTTATGTATACGTACAGCATTTGATGAAGTAACCCTAATACCTGGTTTTCCTGAGGAGCCTGCAACTAAAAATTGTTGCAGAGGAGGCAATGAACACATTCCACACCCCACCCCTTTACATTAATGTATAAATATGTGTCTGCTTGTATTTTATTATGTTGTACTCCCCCTTCAATACTCTATCTGGCCTTGCTAGCATAGTGCAGTAAGCCTAGAGGTAATGGATGCTGAAAGAGTACCTGCCTGCATGAAAACCACTATTTTGGAGGAAGGGGATGGTTTGTCTGTATGTTCACATATCACCAGATGTGATGGCCCAATTTATGATCCAGCAGGGGAATCCCCCAATGAGCTGATCTGATGAAGACACTATCAAGCCAAGCTAGGTACTACAATCTTTATTAGAACTAACAGTTTTGCTCAAATCAAAGACTTCCAGCCCCTTTGCAATCAAAATATGGTAGGCAGGAGCAGGCACCATTTGAAGCTGCTTGTTTGATCCCCCTGATTTGTCAGTGCAGCCAGACATATATTCCCTTCCATCCCTGAGGAGACAGCGGGATCAAAGCCCACTCAATGTTTCCTGCTTTCGTGAGGCACCAGCAGGAAGCGTCAGAAAACCTTGTCTCTCTGACAAGCACAGGCCCAGATATAGAACAGGACGACAAGCCAGAAAAAAGCAAAACACACAACTCAACAACTTTTATAGATCATTAAAGAACAAGCCAACGTGCTGAGATCATCGGCGACAGGTACCACACACAGGCCATGGTTTCTCTATACAGACTATGGGAAATGAAGATGATCAGTTGCTGTTTGCTTGATTTTGGGTGGGTATGTTAAAGGCCTGTGTGTGTTAAACAAGTGGGGTCTAGAGCAGATCAAACTGGAAACCTCCCTGGAAGCCAAGATGATCAAACTGAGACTGTTGTACTTCAGACACATCATGAGAAGAGAGGACTCTTTGGAAAAGACAATAATGCTGGGGAAGGTGAAGGGAAGTAGGAAGAGAGGAAGGCCACATGCCACATGGATGGACTCTATGAAAGAGGTCACTTTGGGTATTAAGGGGTTGCAGGATTTAAGCAAAACAGTGGAGGACAGGAGGTCTTGGAGATGTCTCATCCAGAGGGTTGCCATGAGTCAAGATCTGACTCGAGGG